TACCGTTACACCCTCTTAGGAGCCCACTGCTGAACATAGGCCTCCCTATGGATTCGCTCATTTGATATAGTTGCAATGATTGGTAAGTGGGTTCATAACCGCAGTTCTTTATTATTATGCGTTGTTAATTACAAAATGCTGCTGCCTATCTACTGTTTCAGTTTTCTCTGTCGCTTGTTACAAAATGGCAATAAAGTATTTTACATAAAAAAAATCATATTTATGGGTTGTGAAAAGTAAACGAGAAATGTTGATTCATAAAAATGCATTAGAAATTTTATAATTCAATTTTAAGAATAATATTTTTAATCTATGTCTCAAATGTCCAAAACACTATCCAACATATTAGATTCCGTCGTGACGTCAATCCTACAAGTGTTTTCAAGTTATTATCACGATTGTTGACTTTTATTCCGTGTTTCATTGAAATGGCATTATGGAAGACGGATTCGTAAAAGCAGAAAGTCACAAGCTACCAAGGATGATAATATATGTATACATTGATGGTAGCAAATCATTTTGCTTGCAATCCCGATTTTTGCTCTGCTGAATTAGGTAATAGTAAAACATCAATGTAAGTACATATTACCAACTTTTGTTTATACAATAACACAATATCAGGTCAAAGTGTATTTTGATAGAACATAGTTATGTTTATCGATTATCAGAATCATTAACAAGCACTAGTTATATCTATGATAACCTAATTTATTACAAAATTTGACTTGCAATACCTATCACCTCATCGTTTTGTATAAATGATAGTTAAATATAAGTAATACTTACATCAAAGTGATCTTCACAGACTTATAGTCTAGTTGTCGTAGACAATGTCTTTGGGTATCTTTTTGCCAGTTTTTACCAAGTATTTCTCATATTTAAATCAGTTGACACTGGAATCCATAAATTTCCCGGCGTTCTTATACTCGTATTTTTGCACTCATGTTCAACATACCAATAATAAAGATTAGAACTCATTAGTAAACAGTGGTAGAGCCACGCGGCAGCTTTTGCTGTCGCACGGATGGGCCGGCTCGAACCGGGGTAGTACCACGAACTCACAGAAAACCAGCGTGAAGTAGAGGTTTACCTCTGCGTTTCGCTTGGTGAGTGCAGGTGGCCGGAGGCCCTTTTTACTGGAAATGAGGCATTCCATCTTAGTTCTCACGGGTGACAACGCATCTAAATTTTGATTTGTAACAGAGGATAGATGTAGATGTCAATGGGCCGCAGCAACCACTTACCATCAAGTGGACTGTGTGCTCGTTTGTCACCCTTATCCTATAAAAAAAAAGAAAAAAAACATCCAAAAATATCTTACTATTTTGAAAAATGGTTTTATTTACCATGGTGTGACGTAACGAGATGAACAGCATGGTGGCTAGCGATTTCGCGCGAACATTTAAAAAGATAGATTAAAAGTAATTTTCATGGCACTATTCGGTTAAATAAAATATATAAAAAATATAGTGGTTCATTATTACTCTAGGATTCATTTAAACACTATTTGAAAATGGGTGTAATGGGTATTCAATAATAATATTACGGCAAATATCTCTGTATGAAACATTCTGTAGACCACTACAGTCTGAGCCTGTGTTTAGCATTGGACTTTGATAAACTGTAATTATGATGGTGATTGTTTTAGAAAGGAGTTCACTATCATTTTAAGAGCATGGTAAGAAACAAATATCTATAGATTAAAACCATAATAGTGAAGAGAAATTCAGTAATTTATAACTATAAAACAACATACTAAAATTATATTATATAAAAAAAATTATAATTACAAATAATGTATTCAGGCGTTACTTTCGGGAAATCCATTATAATCTTCTAAATTAATTAGCTAAGACCCGCGTAAAAAATATAAATGATTTGTCTTATCCAGTTCACTTTTCAAACTAGGTCGCTTTTCACAGTAGTTAAGATGCATAATTATTTTTACACGGGTCTTAGCTATTATTTAAGATTCTTAGTATATAATGTTCATATACAAATACATTGGGTAGCAACAAAGAAAATACGGATGACCTGGCATAATGCCGATGCGGTGTCACTACATCAATGGGTCATAATTACCGAGCATTTATCGAAAACTGAATTTTATTTTTCAGTTTCATCCGTCTCCGTTACAAATAGCGAGGAAACATTATCATTCAGTACTTAGAGGCAAAAATTAAAGTTTACTAGAAATAAATTAAAACTTACTGTTAACATTAAAAAGCCGACATTTTTTAAAAGGAAACATAATGTAATCTCGTATTCAGTTTTCCTTCTTCAATGAATCAAATTTTTTTATTAAAATTCTCTCAGAAATATGACCTGAAGATTTCTGCCAAGAATTCAATTTTCGAGCCTGAAGTAAGGCGCATAAAGTGATATATGATAATAACGTGAGAGCTTAAGTTACGCAGGTGAGGTGAATATATTCGGTGTTATTACTAATTTTTTGTCTTCGAGTCCACCTGAACGCGTACCACCCTCTTGACTGTCACCAAGCAGCAGTAATCTTCTGTTGTAATCTGAAAGGTATTGAAAACCAGTATTTACAGGCATTTCTGCACGGAAATGGGAACGAAATCCTATCCTTCTTTCTTTGAAGCTGATTGCGAGCTGTTATGGGCAGTAGAAGCCACTAACCATCAGGTGGACTCTAAGTTCTGCATTTTAAGAAGAAATTATGGCCGAGAGACTTTTGAAATTAGGCATTTGAAGAAACTATCGCTGTTGCTCTGCGACCGCTCGGCATCCGATAAGGACAACTGCAGATTCGACTGAATAGTCTAAGTAAAAAAGCATAATTCGAGGTTTGGCTCTTTACCATTGACTCCTCCAATATATGACGAATTTCAAAGATATTATAAAAACTGAATAAGAAAGATACACTGTGTCTCTATGTTTTTCTTTTTTCAGTATTAGTCTTCAAATTTGAACACTAATCCTGTGTTGACAGCGATCTAAATAGGAAATTTTGGGCATTTTGTTAGAGTTCTAGTACTTATAAAGATAATATATCATCAAAAAGGAAAACATAGGGACATAGATAAGGTTGGTATTTATTTTACTGTAAAAACTCATTGCTGTAAGGTCATAAATCAGAAAGAAAGCAGGCGAGAGCGTTTGTATGGAGAAAAGACAACCCGCATTTTCTCTTAAGTTCAACCGATAGTGGATATCATCTGAATACTCTCAACTTAAGTTTCAGAGACTGGGGCAAGATATACAGCAATGCAAATACAGTGGTTTTTATTAGCTATACGCTCACCAATCTAACTACCCAGCGTGAAATATGACAAACCCTTTATGCAAGGGTCAGGCCCTGCAGTGAGCTCTGTCAGGCTGGTAAAGAAATAAAAGCAGAAAAAAAACTGATAAAGTAATAATGAAAGATATTAATGAATAAATATCTTGCAATATTACTTTATCAGCTTTTTGTTTGATCATAGAAATGTCAATGCCATTTAGTGGCGGTTTAAAATAATCCATTCCCCCTATCATCCCGTGGATTTGATTTCGTAATAGGGAAACGGAAATAGATGACGAAAATTGGCATTTTCCTGAAAACAGATGAAAATAATTCAAAAAAGTGGCTGTCAACCAACCTGTCAAGAGTGGCAACTACGAGTATGGTGAATATCTATATTTAAATTGATAGAGCCATGCTGCAGCTATATTATGGTTGTAGTATAGTACCTCAGTCGAGCCAAACAACGCATCACAGAATACCAGCGTAAAATAGCAGCTTAATGCTGCTGTGTTTCGTATGATAATTTTACTCTTTGAATGTAATATAATAATTTTCTACAATTATTTACATGTATTAAAATAGAAATAGAAAGCAGATTATTAGCGATCACCTCATTCCCAGGGTTTATTTTCTTTCATGTATTCATGAACAGTTTTTCTTAAAAATTTTTTTTATACATTTTGAACATTTTCTGGGCTTTCGTTGTGAAGACGTATATGCCTATAAAAATCATATTCATTAAAAATTAATCACACAGATATAATGATGCGTCGCTATCATTAAGGCAAGCCATATTCCGACACCATTACGACGTCAACAGTCACGTTCGTTGTTTTTATTTTAATAAATTTTAATACCGTTTAGAGACGCTAAATTTCAGCGAGCACTGTCAAATTCAATAGGAGTGTCAGAAAAAACGCTACTTGGTATAGAAGGGCAAAATATATTATTTAAATTAAAGTAAAATCACTTTATTAAAAATAAAAATAGCCCAAATTAGCTTTATTAACACATGGCACATAATTGTACCTATTATACTGTTATGAGCTTGGAGTTCGAGACAACTGGCAATGGAATTACCTAAATTGACACTTTAATTACAGAACACTAACTACAGCCTAAAACCACACTAATAACAAAACACAATTGTACTACTGATCACTTTAGTTCGCAGTTGTATCACTTCGAAGTATTCGCTTGCATCGCCTATTCAATACCGACCCCGGTCGTGATCTATGCCGGCCTTATATAGGGACTCAGATAGTTTCTAGAACATTTTACTGTAGAAACTTTTAGAATGTTCGAGTACATACCGGTCCCGACTGACTAGTTGTCGAAAGTTCTATAGTTTTAGAAAGTTCTTCCATGGAAATTTCTAGAACGCTCTAGATTCTCCTAGTTCTACTACTTGATACTAGAGGGCGCTAGTGGTAACTAGTGTTGTCATGTACCACCCATTAATTGTAGCAGGTAAGCGCCCTACTAAGAAATGCTCGTCCCGAGCATTATTGGCCTCATAATAACGCGCCAGTCGTTCCATATGGACGATCTTAAGAGTACCGCTTACTTGCAATTTTTTTGTATCCATTAGGTTACGTAATTGACGCTTGTCACAATCCCGTAACAGTCCGTCCCATTTAGCTTGAAGCTTAGGAGATTTCCCTTTGCTGCAAACTCGATTGTGCAACCGCACTAGTGAACATTCGTCGAACCCTTTGTTGTTCATTTTGCGATCATACTGGGTTTTCGTCTATTCAGACATTTGGTGGCCCGATTGTCTGACGTGCTCATAAATGTCATTCATTTTGTTTCGCAAGTCATTTCCATTATCCGTTATATATCGTAGGGAATCAGGTGGTATTCCGGTGATCAGGTCTGCAGGCAGACGTAACTCTCTTCCAAAGTTTGCAAAAGCTGGTGTCACTGATGTACTTTCGTGAACAGCGCTTCGATATGACAACAAAAACGGTTGGTTGTGCTTGTCCCAGTCCTGTTGCCGATTTTCCACAACTTTTGCTAGGTACCTCTCCAATGTCTGATTAAATCGTTCTACCATTCCATCAGGTTGTGGGTGGTAAGAAGTTGTTCTTGTTTTATGAGCACCCATAACTTGCCAAGTTTCCTGGAATATTTGAGACTCAAAATTTCTTCCTTTATCGCTGTGAATCTCTAAAGGTACTCCAAAACGACAGAAGATTTCATGAACTAGTTTATCTGCAACTGTTGCAGCTTCTTGATTTGGAATGGCGAAGACTTCTGGTTACTTACTGTAGTAATCCATCACAACCATGAAATACTTCATACCACTTTCTGGAAACCGTCCAGCAAAGTCAAGGGCTATCCTCTCCTATGGTGCACCAACATTGTACGATTTCAATGCACCTGTATTACGAGTCTGAGGTCCCGTTACAGCCGCACAACTTGTACATTTGCGACACCAGTCCTCGAAATTGTCACGAGAGTGGACCCAATAAAACTGTTCTTGGATCTTCAGTAGAGTTCGTTTAACTCCCAGATGGCCACATTAACAACCATTATAGTACAGCTGCAGAACATTCGGTACTTTAACTTTAGGCACAACCATTTGCAAATGATAGCTGTCTCCTCGCGCATTTCCCATTTACGGCACAGGACTCCATCTTGAATCAGGAAGCTGTCCAAATGGGCTCACCTGGAACACGTCTTTAGTGCGTAGCTCAAAGAGCACGTTCAACGCAGCAACGCAAAACTGCAGCAGTGGGCCCTTGAGGTGGAAAAGCTGGTTCGAAAAGCATACCAGTCTGTACCTGCGCTTATTGTACGAAACCTGGTGCAGACATTCATCGATGGCATCCGCGACTTTGAAGTCAGAGCTTCTGTGAGGCTCGGGCACCACGAGACGCTTAAGGACGCGTTGGTCCATATACTGGAGGTAAAAGCCTTTCGGCGGGATCATAGTTGCCATCACGTCAGGGAGGTGCAGCAGCTACAGTTCGTGACCGCAATAAAGGATACAGCCCTAGGGGATACGGCTGTGGGGAAAAGGGCCATCTTAGATCCAGCTGCCCTAAACGAACTGTACAAAAGGAAGGTTATGCGGCTAACAGCACCACCCAGCAGCAGCAGGAATACGACTTTGTCATCGAACATAGCAATTATATGTCACGTGTTAATAAACCTATTTGGCTACTTTAATTTTTAATAATGTGATTTTACTTAAATTTTAATAATTTATTTTGCCCTTCTATACCAAGTAGCGTTTTTTCTGACACTCCTATTGAATTTGACAGTGCTTGCTGACATTTAGCGTCTCTAAATGGACGTGAATCGCGCGCTAATCCGGTTGAATTAAGGTATTGCAAAAATAATCGAAAATGTTTGTTTGTACTTTCATGCCGAAGACTATCTTGTTCTATTTTATTACGGTTAAATGTTGTAAAGCAAGTATTTACAAATTTTTTCATTATTTTGTTATTCAATTTTTTACAGTTATTATCACAATTTAGCTTACATAAGAAATTCTTGGTGGGATGTGATGTATAAATAGGCACCTTATTTTCGTCAACAACGTATATATAGTATATATAGTGGAGCTTCAACACAATCTTAAAAATGTTCAATGAATTAAAAAATATATAACTAGAAACTACCAAAAAATATTTGATTTTCAGTCGGTGTTTTAAATTTGCAGATCGGTTATAAAGAGCCATTGACGGAACGTTTTATCAGCGTCATTCTTAGTTTTGGGTAAAAAATAAGTTCATATTAAAAGAAATGCACGTCATTACAAGATTTCTATGTAAAAAGAAGGCTACCAATAAGACTTCTTAAAAAGTTCAAATTTTCGAGACTAAAATAAATGTGAAAGGTCTTTTATTTGCAATAATAATTTTCGTCAAAAATAGCATAGACTTATAAAATTCATACACATGGTCAATCATACTGTAGATGATTGATTGTATAAAAAATTTTAATAGACTATTTTCAGTATAATGATCGAAATATCATCATTAATGTACGACTGGCACACTTAAAATTTCAGATCAGATCGCTAAATATTAACTAACACTTTATGTTAAGGTCATGCTTTTCTATAAAAAGCTGTAAGAAATTTTAAACCACGGAATTCTTGGATTGTTTAACAATTCACTTAATTAGCGAAAAACAAGTTGGACTGATCTCAAAGTTTACTTTCTTGTGTAAAAAGTGCTATTTAGAATTTAATATAATAAGATAATTAAGTTTCTATGTAAATAGGTGTAACATAGCAGGTTTTATCGATATCATTCATCGGTAGCGGCAGTTTTCTGCAGCACTACGCCTACGAATTATTTCAAATAAGAAATACCAAATCCAGCATCATTTTAACACGCTTTTATTGGCTTGATATGTATTTATGTAACGGAATTTTTAATTTGATTTTCACCCTCTTCGAAACGTCACATAGATTTGAAACTTCGCACACTTATCAAGCATCGATGACAATGCAATAACTTAAATAGTTTGACCCATTATCCTTGCCAGTATTCTCAGGATTTGAGATTAATTTATAAAACACTACGACTTCTGCCAGTTCAATCTACTGTAAGCCGCATAAAAGAATTTCGGTTCAAAAAAATACACGTTTTGTAGTTTGCCGCACTAAAAAATAAAAAATAAATGATAATTTAAAAACAAATAAACACGCTTATGTAGATAACCGAACTAAAAAGTAGAAAATAATTTTCAATAACTTTAAAATAAGAAAATAGTGATTAACAAAAAAATTATTTTATTGTAAATAAGCTTGGAGTGATGTTATTTGTTGTAAATATATTTGTGGATATTTGTAAAATTAAAATAATAAATAACTTAAGCCAAAGAGCACAACTGGCACTATACTCAGTCCCATCAATTGGTATGGAGAAAGAAATAATTTTATCATGTTTAAAAAAACAATCAAAATTCAAAAAAATCAAAAATACAAAATTCATAAAATATAGATCTGTATGTCTATACATACATATATTGATTTATAGCCGCTTAGTAACTGACGGTTTCTCAGTGCCTATATAACACCCTACAGGCAGGCCAAAACTAAGAGGAGAGAATCACTGTAAAAAATGTAATAATTTATTGCAAAAATTATGTGATAAAATAAAAATAATAAGTTACAAAGTTATCCAAGATACCCAATATGTTACAGAAAAAATTATAACAACTTATAAACTAATAAGTATGTGTCAGTTTTTAAATAGGGTACAAGATATAAATTTCCTTCTCATAATATTTTCTATAATTTTTTATTTAGCCTTATCTGAAACGTTCTAAGCTCTATTGAAAATGTGGCGTATAAAATGACCGACAGTCACTAGAACATTTTATCTAGGTACAAAGATGTTTTACGTTTTCGAGGCCTCCACAAGATATTTTTATAAGCAATATGCAGGTACCCTTCTGTATCTGAAACGAATATGAATATTGCATAATATGTATACAATAAAGTAGAGTAACAGGCTATGTAAGTTCATATGCTAGGCACAGGGCTCCTCTTACTTCTGATGGGGTTTTAGGGCAAGAAGATGTCCGCCGCACTGCCCCAATGCGTGTGGGCAAACTTCACATGTCTTCGAATTTTGTTTCTTATTCCTCAGACATATGCAGGTTTTCTCACGATGTTTTTATTCACCGCTGAGCACGTGCTAAATCAGCACTTAAAATAGCAATTTAAATTTTTATTTGTTCTGCCGGGGATCAAATCGGGGCGAAATTTACAGCTAGCGCTTAGACCCAGAACTAATAATACGACATAAATAAATTAAACCTCCAAACTAGGATTTTCTCCTGTATCGCAGGGACAGTTTACATACATAGAACAGACCCAGAACATTTATCTTCCTCGGTCGAGCCGACATATTCTTGCTAAAACTATACCAGTAATATAGTTGCATCATGGCTCTACTAACTTTAAAAATATTTATTATATATTATAATAGTTTACATATATAAAATTTTAATAGTTTAATAAGTAGTCATATATGCATACACGAACGCACGAACACACGCACGCACTCACGTACTCACGCATGAACGCATGCACGAACACGAGCACAGACGCACGTACCAACACATGTCCGAACGCACGCATTCGAGTCCGAGAACACGAACGTTCGTACCCACACACTGTTTTAGCCGCGAGCTTGCAACGATGATTTCGACCCTGAACTTTGGCGAGTATGCTAGCGAGTAATTGTTTATCTATATATTCTATTCTCCGTCTGAGAAGTGCCATAGACAGTAGTAAGCTAATAATATATTTTTGAATGATAAATGAAAAATTTGTGACTTATATAAATGTAGCATTTATTAGGCATATTTTAAATTAATTTAAAATCATAATAAAAGCCCACCGCTGAATATATGCCTTCCTTACCTCGCATATTTGCCATATATCTGCCACATTCAGTAGTCGGGTTGGCACACGCTGCTTTCTTATTTAAAATATTATTAAGTTTGCCTATTTTATTACTAAATAAAAAGAAAAAAAAAACATAATCGGATTATATCTTTTATCGGAGATTTATTGGAATTTGAAAGAGAGTATCTTTAATGTAATACAAGATAGGTTTTCTTTTGCCGTTGATATCTAGGGAATTATAAGAGCATTTGTTCGCGAACCCATATCACCAAGTATTAAGCTCTGGAATTTTATATATGTTCTTTTGGATCCTTTTTCAATTTGTAGGTAAATCCGAACATGGCATCAAAATTGTATGCCTAAAGTGCTTTACTAGCAGGTTATATAATAAATAAATACTTTATTTTTAAAATTATTTGAATGTTATAAGGCTCGTATTATAAGTCGTATATGGAGTACTTCAGCTCCACATAGCTTGGACTCACTGGAGAGACATTTTAAGAGGCTTATTGGTAACCTTAATATTTTTGAAACCCATTTTGTTAGCGTTAAGTACAGAGGCAGAGTAGCCAATCTCTCTTTATTATATAGAATACATTTCGGAGAGTGAGAGTATGTGTGTTAAATCCTCGCTCCCCTTACCACCATCGGACAACCAAGTGATCGGCGGATCTTAACCTGTTTATTGTCGAAATCACACGTATTCAAACCAAATGGTTTGCTTCATCTTT